CCAATCAGCGTCAACGTTGATTCAGAAGCATGATGTGCGATAAAAGTACCGCCCAAGGCTTTCGTTGCTGTTCGGTAGAACTCGGCAGAGTCTCGACTACTCCAGCACGTACACCAGGAAGGCTTGGCTAGCTGGATGCAATCACGCTAATGCGTTATTTTGCTTTCCGTGTTTGTTATTCAAAACGACTGGGACAGATGAGGCATGGATTGAGTCAGGAGTTACGGACATGAAACATTTTTCTGAGAAGGTGAAGAAACACGAGTTATCCCGGGCACACATGGACAACACGGTGAAGCTAGCTATGCTAGGAAGAGCTAACATTGTCATGCAGCTTGAGACGAGGGGCACAGGCTTGCAGTGAAGAAACACAAGGAAGAAGTGGATCAGAACCGGCACATTTTGTCCAAGAGAGAGATGTCAACACAGTGTATGAGCACAAGGATGACCTCCTCAGATTTTTCCAGATGATCAGAGACTCGGATGACTTTGATCCAATCCCTGAGAGAGAGGCAGGAGGCTTTGTGAGAATGCTGGAGGAAGAAGATTTCGGCTTTCTGCTGGCATTGTGTCACAAGATCATGCCACATGTGGACATGCTGTTCAACCAGCTGCAGAAGAGGAACATTGACTCTGTCTACATCTGACAGGGGTCATCCAGAGCTTCACCAACAGCATGCAAAAGATCAGGTACATACTTGTTTATTTAATATTATTGTGATGAAATACTCCAGTATGTTAGTTTCACAAACAGTAATGTGGATGCGGACCATTTATGGTCATGTTATTTTATGTGCAATTTAATGCAGTATTTTTCAACCTTGGTCCGCAAGGCAGCGTGCCAATAGTCAGACACACGTGGATTAATCCCTTTGTCCAATAATGTAAGACAGGAAACAAAAGAGCTGTGCTTAATTCAGGAAATAATGAAGTTGTGCACAAAGCTCAGAAAGCACAAGTTTGTTAAAAAAAATAATAGCACAGCCCCACCAAAAATATTTTTCACCAGCTGCCACTGCAACCTGACTATGATGCACTCGTTAAAGCCCAGCAGAGACTAGATTTCTCTCACTGAATAAGAAAAAAATTGCTTAAAAACACAAAATAAGGTGTTTGGACCACAAATGTAGGCAACTAGCAGTGAACTGGGACACTTTTTTAACCTCTTTCTCAAGATCACAGTACAGTGATTTTATTTTACAGACAATACTGTGTATCTGTAGAATGCTAAGAACCTCTTTCCAACAATATTTGAAACTCAAATTGTGTTTTGGAGTGAATGTGACTGAAACTGTTAACTAATATAAGTCACAAATGTTTAAGAAAAACCAAATGTGCACACTTTGTTTACCATTGCCTTGGGAAATTTGAATAAATCACATTTTTGTAAGCCAACCTCACTTTTTCCTTTTTGCTCATTTATAACATATAGTCTACTCTTACCAGCTTGAAAAACAATTGCATTTACTGCTTTTTATAAAGAAATACCATTAATATTATGCATAATTGACTTCAGCCCTTTGGCCTGGCCCTCCACAAAATTTTCTGTTTCTCATGTGGCCCCATGGAAAAAATAATTGCCCACCCCTGGTATATCTGGTGGGTTCTCCCACGATCTCACCTGTCTCTGGCTGTTTATGGAGGTCAGTTTTAAGCTTTAAGGACGCTAGGATTCAAAAGTCTTAACTTTCATTAGGTCATTGTCTCCAGTTTGGCTTGCCAAGGCTCTTTACCGGTTTAATTTTATTCATTTTTTGTGGCATAACTGGGTCATACGTCTTATTTTTGTCCTGCTTTTGGTTTAAGGTGCTGATTTTGTGTTGTGGTAACATTGGGGGCAGAAAATTAGTCTTTCTAACTTGAATTTTCTCAGGTTCTACATGTCTGTAAATGATAAATTCCCTACTCTTTGAACTACGGTCGCTAGGCCTCTTTTCAGATAATTTCTGACTTGCCTTATTCTCCTCAATGAGCCTGTTGTTTTCCGCCTCAAGTTGTGTTATTTTGTTTTCTAACTCTCTAATGTTTATGAGTTGTACTTCCTTTAGTCTTGCCATCTGGGTTTTACAGTCCTCCAGCTCGCTGGCGATCTTTACCTTCTCAGCTGCTACCTTTTTCAACTGTTCTGTGTTTTGCTTTTCATCTTCAGAAACGAGGAGCAGCTGACCTTTCACCTTCTCCAGCTCTAACGTTGTCTCACGCTTCTCCTTAACTAACTTCACATTGGAGTCTTTCAGTTCCTTATATTCCTTCTGTAAGTCCACAGCTGAATCATTAGCTTCGAACAACAGTTTTCTAATACTGTTTGTTTGGATTCCAAATATTATGTTAACACGTGACATGGACATCCTGTTACCGAAGTTTGATGAACAGGTAATGTATACAAATGTTTTTTGTCTTGTTTATAAGGAACCTGAAGCTTGCAATGTTTACTAAGTTGATAAAAAATTAGTTTGAATTTGTTCTTGGTTTGCACACGTTTATTTGGCATTTAACCAAATGGCAAAACAATACCACATATTGGAGGCAAATAAAAGGGATGCACACAGTTAAGTGGTTATTTGCCATCGAAGATCCAGAACCCTGCTCCGTCCCCGACCTCGCCTTTTTGGATTACCCTGTTTGCACCGCTGCATCTCTGACCTTCTGGCTCCGATCCTGCTCCGTCCCCGACTTCGCCTTTTGGATTTCCCTATCCCTTACCCTCCTGGTAACGACCTCCTGTCTCCTGACCTAGCCTTTGCCTCTCCCCTTTTAATAAACATTCTTAAACGTGTCATTCTGTGTTGGGTGTTTTTTACGGATCCGCCAGTTAACTCATGCCAAGTTTACAGTAAATAAATAATACTGTAATAGTACATACAGTAAATGTTAGTTACTGTGTTCTGTTTTACTGCTACAACACTAATTATTTTTACAATAACTTGTCATTTGCTGCCGGTTAATTACTGTGAATTTCACAGTTTATGCTTGTCCTTTTTAACCAATTAAACAAACTAATCTACCCCTTTAACACAAGTCTGTACAATTTAAGCAAAAACAGAAAAGAAGAGAAATATACACCATTTAGTCAAAAAAGTTCACAATACTCTTACATTTACAAGACAACTTATAAACTCTTGTAACAGTCAAAAATTATCTTCAAAACCACAAGTTCTTCCATTTACACTGACATTATTCCACAGTTTAACCCCCACCGCAGATATACATTTCCTTGTAACTTCTTTTTTTGCCAAAGGAACAACAAATTAATATCTCTAAAATCATAGCTTCTAAACAAGAAAAAAAAACTTGTATACTTTGCAGAAGTAACTTTAATTTAGATTTATACATAATTTGCATTATTTTACAGTAAACTAAATTATTACATTTCATAACATGTGGTTTTAAAAACAGCAGATGTGTATGTGCCAAATAATCAGCCTAATTAATAATACGTATTGGACGTTTTTGTAGGAGAAATATTGCACTAACTAACATTTGATTAGTCAGTCCCCAGAAACTTCTTTAGAGCGCTCAGGACCTCAAAAGTGTGCTTCTACTAAATTCTGAGCAAAGGGTCTGAATACTTACAACCATGTGACATTTCATTTTTTCTTTTTAAATAAATCTGCAGAAATGTCTCAAAATCTGTTTTTCTGTCAATATGGGGTGCTGTGTGTATGTTAATCAGGGAAATAATGAACATAAATGACTTTAGGAAATGTCTGCAAAATAAAGTAGGAATTAGGAAACATTAATGACGGTCTGAATACTTACTGTACCCACTGTAAAAGTGTAGTTCTAGCTTGCAATCACTAGAGGATGCCAAAGACCAATTAAACAAAATGAGAAAAGCGCGTGTTTTCCTAATAATAATAATAATCAAACTTATATTTCGCTTTATTAGGACTCTCAAAGACGCTTGCGTGAACTCTCACATTCACACACTGCTAGTGATGGTGAGCTACTTTGTAGCCACGGCCGTCCTGGAACGGTCTGACAGAGGCCAGGCTGCCATTTGGCGCCGTAGGCCCCTCTGACCACCACCAATGCAGGCAAGTTGGGTGAAGTGTCTTGCCCAAGGACACAACAGCGGAATGCCTCTGGTGGGAGCTGGAATCGAACCCATGGCCCTCCGATCATGAGGCAACCCGCTCTACCACCTGAGCGACTGCTGCCCCAGTCCTAATCACATTACCAAGTCATTGTTGAGATTTTGATAACATGGTAAAATCTAAATGAAGTGTTTTTAAAAATAAAATGTTTTTTGCTTTAGTTTAGCCTGATGCATGTTTTAGTTTAGACTCCTGTGTTTTATGGTAAGAGTTTAGAGTTTCACCTACAGTTTAGGAGTGTGGAACAGCCTCAGGCATTGAGTAAAACCCACAATAGATCAAGTAAGATCTATTGTACTTTGCACCACTCACTCTCTCGCACTTTTTAAATCAAAACTCAAAACCCACCTCTTCACACAGGCGTTTACCACATAGTTTTAATTTATTGTTTTAATTTGTAGCATCCTAGTGTTTTTACACATTTCTGTACTGTTTATCTTGTTTTATTATTTTTCACCATTGTTGTAAAGTGTCCTTGGGTGTCCTGAAAGGCGCTGTTAAATAAAATGTATTATTATTATTTGTTATGATTTATTATTATTATTATTATTATTATTATTATTATTATTAAGTAAAGCACCTTAAAATAACAGATTGTTTTTTCTGTGTATAAAAAACTTTCTGAGCTATAAAAAGTATTTCATATAATGATGTGTGCCAAAAACCCACGTGCTGTAAAAGGATAAATGTTTTGAAAAATGTAATAACAGTGGCATTTTGTTTTTATGTCAGAGGCCATCTATCTGAACTGTAAAGCACACAGGCACGTACAATAGAAAAAAATATATAGAATTTTTTTTTATAAATAATTCATAATACATAGATTAACTGCCTACTAGTTAAGAGAGGTTTAAATCACGTCTGCCATGTCATTACGCTTCTGGCCACATGGTGGCAGCATTGAACACAAATAGATTATGACCAAAGGAGCAGAAGAAGAAGAAACCAGTTTCATAATATTTACTTTGGACGCAGTTTCGTTAGGGGCTGCACTTTTTTTATTATGGACTTGCTTCATTTGGTTCGTTAAACTTGACCTTTGAAATATAAATGGAGCACAGTTGATATAGAAAAAACAGCCGTATCAGGGGCGGAGAGGCTGCATTCCAGGTATGCATAAGTAAATGGTAGCAGCTGCTAGCTACAAATAGTTTTTACACAAACTATGATAGATAAATCTTTCATAAAATTTAAATCCTGCTTGTTTTATATTGAATAAAACGCGTTTTCTTCCCATAATATGTGGTATTTGGGCTAAGTGAACAATGACGCTGGAGAGTTCCAGTAAAATCACCCTGAGGCCGTTAGGAACAAACACAAAAGGATTAAAAAAACTGCTCAGAGAAACAACTAAACGTATTTTTCTGGTTAAAATGACACAAACAGGTCAAGATGGGACATTACTGAAATGTGTTTTTGTTACAAATGTAATCTTTTAAGTGCTTATTCTATTTTTATGGGCTAAATTAGTAGGGATGAGAATCTCCGAGCAACTCACGATTTGATTAGATTCCGATTCTTGGGGTACCGATTCGATTCAGAATCGATTCTCGATTAAATCGATTCACAATCAATATTAACAAAGAGTGTCAGTTCCAGGATTAACTACTTTGTTGTGCAAGTTAGTTAATGCTATGGGAATTTTTATTTTATTTTACTTTAAACTGGTCATGTAAAAAAAAAAGCTAATTTACAAGGTAAACTAAAGTGATTCTAAAACTGTAAACAGAAACAATCTTTTGACCAAAAGGCAACATTTATTTTTGCTTACCTTGTAAAATATAACAAATCTTTAGTTACCTAACAGTAGCTTTGAAAGTAATACAGTCAAATACTTTTTAAGTATGTGTGGAAACAAGTTTAACATTTGAGTTCTCAACCTGTTTAAAAAAAGTGCCTTAGATTTCTTACAAAGGAAAATGTTTTCTCTCATTTATCAATAACTTCAATTAAACACGAGTAATCCTGAGTACTCACTTATCAACTTAGAAAATAAAATTTCTGAGTATGGAAAAAAAATACATTCTAGTCCCCACTTATGAGCAGATTCAAAAATAAATCATCCCAATTTATGGGACCGCAAAAGTAAATGGAATACTAACTCTCCTAAAGACCAAATAAACATACAGAAGTGCATCTGAAACCTGTAACATGCCAAGCATTTGAGTTCCTGGAATTGATTCTGAATCTTTATAAATAAGAATCCCGATTCAGACTTGTCGATTTTTTTCAGCACCTCAATAAATTAGCTTGTTAAACACAAATATTTGCTTACACATTAATAAGCATTACTGTTTGTTGTCCACAGGGATCTCCTAACTTTGATCCTAAAGAACTGAGGCATGTTTTCCACCATGGAGGAAACTGCAGGTGGCTTTCTGAGCCTGTTCAACGTGGAATTCAGTAGAACTTCTGTGACACTCACCTTGCTTCTTGTTTTCCTTTGCCTTTTTTACTGGTAAGCTATTGCCAAGACTTTTGTGTTAAAACTCTGTGATTTATAATAGCTAAACACAAGCGTCCTGGCAAAGACAGACAGCAGCTCCAAACAAAAAGGAGAAATACACTTTAATATTTGTTCTCTTCCACTTTTTAGGTATAATCCTCCAATATTCTTTTGCTTTTTTGTCTGCAGGTATTCAGTCTATCCCTTCTCGGTCCTCTCTCGTCATGGAATCAAACATCCAAAGCCAGTGCCGTTTTTTGGCAACATTTTCATGTTTCGTGAGGTAATATCCCCTCAAAGGAAGGAAAGAAAATGTATAGCTATCATTATGTTATCTATTTTTTCTTATTGCCAGATGCAGATTTGATACTGTCATGATCTTTTTACTGTAACCTTATTTTGTCTGTTCTGATCATTTTTAGATTTGTGTCTCTAAAATGCATTTTGTCCGTCCTTTTCAGGGTTTTTTCAAACCTCTCACTGATATCATAAACACACACGGCAGAGTTTGTGGGTAAGAGAAAAATACGTTTTACACCAGTTTCTAATAGAAGAGTCACTTCTGACACAGATGAACTTCTCAGGTATTATTTGGGCCGGAGACCCGTGGTGGTGATAGCAGATCCCGATATGCTCAGACAAGTGATGGTTAAAGACTTCAGCAACTTCACCAACAGAATTGTGAGCGCATCAGCCGATTACTGCTGCTGTTCATGCATCTAAAACAAGCTTCAGTTTAATTTCTCCTGGTGTTCTGTGCAGAAATTTCGCTTTGCCACCAAGCCCACGACAGATTCTCTGCACATGTTGAGGAATGAACAGTGGAAAAGAGTTCGGAGCATCCTGACTCCATCCTTTAGTGCTGCAAAGATGAAAGAAGTGAGACTCCGCTCAGGTTAAGAAAGGACAAAGATCCTAGTTCAGTTGATTACATTTCATTTAGTTCATAATTTTTACTGAACTCAAGAATCACAACTATTACTTTTTATATTTATATCCTAAAATATGCACTACCTTTTAGCTGTAAAGGCTTTACCGATCCTTTTGTTGTGCATGATCTGGTTCTAAAGTTGTGTAACAGAATGAAATGACTGTTTCCCCCTCTCCTCTGCACAGGACTAGTCTGCATGAGATATGGCCTCAAGGTCTCATGCATTTGCTTCTAACCTGCTTCTTTTCAGCTCAACAGAAGAATGAACTCTTTTCTTTTAATTAATCAAAGAACTCTATTTTAATAAAGCTAATCAAGTAAAGTGTTAGTCAATAAATAAGATGTGACCGATCTATTAAATCAAAATATTAATTACTTTATTATAATCCTATAGAATATAAAAGTAATATGACTTTAAATGTTTCCACTAGGACTGATCTCACGTAGCGTTAAAAGACATGATGCATTGTTTTACTGATCCAATCAGAATCTGACAGATTTGACGGAGGCGTGGTTTTGGTGGTGCTTGGTAAATCTGTGCTTTTCTTTCGACCATAAACCAAAACATCCGAAGTGTAAAACTGCCCACGTCATCTCAAACGCCAGTTCAAAGCGTTCTAGAGAAGTTGTCGCAGTGGCCAATCCGTAACTTTCCTCTTCAACCGAAAGAACCAATGACAAGCTGGATAAATCTGTTGCATTTTACCAACCACGCAACGGTTCCTTTCAGAATAAAAGCTGAACCATCACGACCCAGGTTTGGGTCTCACCAGACCCCAACAAAATTGTCGTGACCCAGAAGTATCTCACAGACTGGACTGGTCGGCAACCGCTGCTTTTCCTACCGGCTTCAGTTCCAGAAAAGGTCGAGCTGGACCTCGACATTCCTGATCTAACGGGGACTTCTGCTCTGGGTATGTAGGCTGACAAAATGGCGTTGAATGTGTTTATGAATCTCCAAAGCTTAACGCGAAGACATCACCTTCAGTTCCCATCAGAACTAATCGCTTCTTCGAATTTGCTGGTTCTGAGCAACATTACACCTCACCCCATTCACCGTCTCATCCACCTTAGTTACACCATACATTTAGTGTTTAAAGTTAGTCTAGTTTTAATTTGTTAGTAATAAAATTCATAACTTTTAAACTCGACTCTCTCTCTTCTGTTGTCTGAGTGAATACGAAGCTGTCATCTAATCATCCGGTTTAAAATAACCTCACAGATCCATAAGGTGGATTTCATATTTGCTCTGGAATCCTACGTCTTATGGCTTATTAAATAACATGTAATTTAAATCATTACAGTTGCTTTTTGTGATCATTTTTGTGTTACGTACTTCAGATGCGTACATTTGATCAGTGGCTCATTTAAAAAGGATTAGTTTATTGTTGTATCCTCCGATAGCTCGGGATAAATTTAGTGTTTCTCCCGCAGATGGCTCCCCTCATCAACACAGCTGCTGATGCACTGATGAACAACCTGAATGTCCACGCCGAGTCAGGAGAGGCCTTCGACATCCATAGGTAACGTCAGAGTCGACATAGGTAATAAATAAATTAACTTTTCAGTATCTTTTATTGGGATTTGACGTTTTTTCAGGTGTTTTGGCTGCTTCACTATGGACGTTATTGCCAGTGTTGCTTTTGGCACCCAGGTGGATTCACAGAACAACCCAGACGACCCGTTTGTCCGCCACGCCCAGCAGTTTTTTTCCTTCTCCTTCTTCAGACCTCTCATGTTATTTTTAAGTATGTCATTTATTTGTGTGTGTATGTGTGTGTAAATTTGTATCTGACCTTTTCGGAAGTACAACATCTTTGTTTGCGTCTGTGCAGTTGCTTTTCCTGCCATCTTCTCCCCTCTTGCAAGATTCCTCCCAAATAAAAGGCGAGACCAAATGAACGGTTTCTTTATCAACATCATTCAGAGGATCATAAAGCAAAGAGAGGAGCAGCCTCCTCATCAGGTAAGTGTCATTAAATGATCTTAATAAAATATCTTCCATTTATATGCTGGTAATTCTACTTGAATATTTTACAGAGGCGTCGAGATTTCCTTCAGCTGATGTTAGACGCTCGAACAGGCCAGGATATTGCCTCCTTGGAGCACTTCAACACAGAAAAACAGACTGATGAGAACGATCACAGGAGTCAGCAGACACAACCATCAGCCTCGGAGCTGGAAAACAGCCATCCTCGCCCAGAGGAGTCACCCACAAAGCGGCCACAGAAAAAGATGATAACTGAGGAGGAGATTGTGGGTCAGGCCTTCGTCTTCCTCTTGGCAGGTTATGAAACCAGCAGCAACACGTTAGCCTTCACCTGCTACCTGCTGGCCCTCCATCCTGAATGTCAGCGCAAAGTCCAAGAGGAGGTGGATGAGTTCTTCACAAGACATGCGAGTTTGTTTTGCTTGAATCTCATCTTTCTTTGTAGTTTTGTGTCAATTTGTTGGTTTAAAGGAGACATAACATGAAAAACCCACTTTTTTATCCATTAACACAGTGTGTTTCACATTTTAAGTGTCTAAGTGAGCAAAAAGGCTTATATTATTCACTGGAGTTGCTATTTAGATATTTAATAATTAAGTTTTGGGCATATTTGTCCACCCGTTCAGTTTTTCACATTATCTATTACATCAGTAATTTATTTCGTCAGGATAACTACCAAATATGGTAATGGCCCTCGGCTAAACACAGAGCCAATCCGCCATTTTTTCTTCTCGCTAAGATTTTTTGTAGTCCTATTGGAAAAATGCAGAATGTCTGGTTATTTTAGCCACACACAGCTCAAAACTGTTGCTCGTTTTAAGGAAAGTGTGGTGTGGCAGTATTTAAACCCAGGAGCTGATGACACTACTGCTAAAAAAACACAGAAGAAAAAGTAGTGTGTGTGTGTGTGTGTGTGTGTGTGTGTGTGTGTGTGTGTGTGTGTGTGTGTGTGTGTGTGTGTGCGCGCGCGCGCGTGGTTCGTTCGTTCGTTCTGTCTCCAGGCTAGTGGCTAAGTACTGAGGGCTTCATCTATCTAAAAGGAGTCATTTCCATCTGAATGTGGCAGCACCGGGACACAGCAGCAGAGCGGTAAGCTTCATATCACTCTAAAATGTCGACAAACTTTCATTTAGATTTACGGGCATTAGCAGCACTAAAGCGTTAGCATCCGGCTTGCTATCGCTAGCACAGTATGCTAGTAAAGTTAGCACCCAGATTAATGTGGATTTGGCTGATTTTCGTGGAATAAAACGTGATTTCTGATCAACGCCTTCTTTTACACCAGATGATAACCTCCCACTGATTGTAACAGCAGAGAGCCTGTGTGTTATTCTACGTGAGATGTAATCTTAGCATCCAGTAAATAAAGTCCCATATCAGCTAAAATGCAGCGTGACAAAGTCATTAAAGTGCGTCAACACAGTGGATTTAATAGAGTTTTAAAGAACGATCTCTGAAGTGAGGTTAGTTTTTTGTCTCACTGCAGATATAAAAACTAACTCTGCATCAGCCAGACACAGCAAAGCTCACCGTCTGTATGAGCGTGAGCGTCGGAAAGCTGATAAAATCGGCTGTAAAATAATTAAAACAAAAGTAAAAATGCTCCTTTGCTTTTTAGAGTCCACATCCAGAAGACTGGAGCCGTGTTTCACTGACAGGCTGTCAGACTAAAGCCCTGATGAGCTCAGCTGGGACAAACTGGTCTGATGTTTAGGTACGTGAAGATCTGCTTCTCCAAGTCCTTGAGATGCTAGTAAAAAATAATTTAGCCAGCTTGCTAATGTTACTTTTCTTCTCCTCTAAGGAACACAGAACGTTCAGATGTTGGCGCTTCACGTGACCTACTGAGGAAGGAGACCCACCAGTAAAGAGACGGTCTGGACCAGACCAAAGTGAGTGATGACACACCTCAGCCACCCTCATCATTAAGAACACCTCACCCCCTGAATCACTCCGTCTGATGACAGCAGAGTGATTTATTTGATGTTTTACTTGTTTAGTCTGTTTAGAAATTATTGAATTACATTTTTTTCTGTAATCGACCATCTGATCTGGATGTGTGCAGAATAACTTTCCCCAAATTCAGCAGCAGCTGGCCTACAAAAACAGCTGCAGCATGTAGTAAGTCTGTCTGCGCTGCTCTCTAATGAGCTTCCTTTCATAAGGAATCATTTGTATAATTTTAGTGTCACTATTTTATTACATTTGTAAGAATATGAAGTCACTGCAGCAAAGTGAACTTGTGAACAAACACAAACGTGACTGTTGGGGTTATTAGGAGCGAACAATTAGTAAGCTTCAACTTACTTTTGGATTCTTCAATAAATTCTGTAAATATGTAAATATTTACTGATTTATTAATTAATTAAGATATTCTTAGATATACGGGGCACCATTCCCCTTTAACCGGGGAAAAATTGAATCCAAAACTCTTATCAGTCTTTCTTGAAGTTCGTAGAATCCTTGGAGCAGAGACTTCTCTTCGACACAACAAAGCTACTGGAGACGAAAATCTGAATTTTATAACGTTTAATTAACAATTTGTCAAATTAATAAACAGTGGCATAAATGAATAATAACCATGTGATATAATAAAAGGATGTATAATCAAAATAATGTTCAAGGTGTTTGTGTGGTGTGTGTGAGTGAGTGTGTGTGTGTGTGTGTGTGTGTGAGATGAATGGGTCTTTGTTTCCCCAGAGTAGGTGGGGGGAGTGAGCTGTGAGTGTGTGTGGGGCTCTTCCCCTCCCCTCGCATTCAACAGGAGACCTGGATGTGTAAAGTTTTCTACTTTCCCGAACACTTAGTGGCTTAGAATCACAGTAAAACTTAACTCAAACACTTCAAAAGTTAACAAACAACAAAAGGGTCACTTGTAAATTATTTAATCTAAAAGGAGTCGGCAGCCTGGCCAGAGCTGACGACTAAAGATATTAGCGATGATCAATAAGCAGTTTATTCTTTCAAAATGACCCGGCGGACGTGTTTTGGGAGCGAAAGAGGAAAACACGAAGCTACTTTTTAAGCAATAGCGCGGTTTTATTGCTTATTCTGGACTATAGAGGAAACGGGAGAAGAAAAGGAGAGAAAAAAAATGAGTTTTCTGATCACCAGATGAGCAGCAAGGCGTCCCCGCTGTTATGATTTGACGGTTCTCCGTTTTTCTCCGCAGTTTTCAGCGTCATCCGTCGGTTTGATGCTTTCTCCGTTGTTTGGCTCCACGTGTGTTTCTCCACGGGCTGGACACAAAGAGAACGAAGTTTCTTTTGTGCTGAGTTTGACAACTTACAGCGTCTCTGAGAGCTGAATGGAGCTCCGCTCGTTCCCAGTCAGGTCCCGATGGAGTTAAGAGTGGTTTCCAGCGGTTGCGTGGCTCAACTTGGGCACTTAGAGCTTCCGCGTGCTCAAGTTGTCGGAGCGTTCGACAAGCGTGTCCTTACCGCCAGGTATCCTGGGCAAAAGAACGAGGTTTCTTTGTCTCTGCTGAAGATTTATGGTCTTAGTTCGCGGGAACAGCTCCACGGCCTCCCGCACATGCGCAGAACGTGTTTCTGGTATTAGGCGGTGACATCATCCCAATGCTTCCGTGTGCAAAGCATCATGGGAAATGAAGTTTCTTGGCGCCGATGTGATTATTTGCTTTTCAGAGCAATTTAAGCACAGTCATTTTGGAGAAAATCACTGCATAGTAATTTCCTCATGAGGTCAGACCCTCAACATTCCCCCTTTTGGTTTCGGGGATCGCGCCCAAAGCTCGATCGTCGGAAGCACAGATGGGTTTGTCCCTCATGAACGTAGGTCGACTTGATTGTCGGAAGCACAGGTGGGTTTGTCCCTTAGGACGTTGGTCTCCTTGGACGCCTTTGTCTTTGGTCTTTGTCTTGGATCCTGGCGCCTTTGGTCTTTGATCCTGGTCAGGCACAAAGAGGATAGGAAACGGGATAGTCCCCAACGCGCATAACGAGAAGAAGCCACTCACGCAGGTGGTACGCAATGATGATGTCGTCCATGCGAGAGGTAGTAGTGTAGAAGGAGGAAGGTCGGTGGGCGGTTAACTCCACGAGGGGACACAAAGGCATCTCACCGCCGGCCATACAGTTCAGTTTATGGAGCACGCGGTGATGTACGAGGTCCATAGTTCGCAAACGCGCATTGACCTATGTGGTCCCAAGATTCCCCCCTTTTTGGTCCAAAGGGCGGATCAGGACAGTCTTTGGGCTAAAACAAGGACCATAAAACTAAGAGGTACTACAATGTGCTGGTGCGTCAGACAGAGTCATTGACGGACTGAGCTGGGCCGGCACATAACCACTAGTTAATATGTGACCAAGTAAGAAACAAAAATACAGAAAACCCAAAAAAAAAAACATATAACATCCAAGAAAATTCATAGCAACCTTGAGGTCTCATAAAATACATTCTTAGGTCATACAGTCAGCGTGTAGCTTATAAAGAATGTGACATACTGCAACACTCAGATAAATATGTGAGGTAGACTAAAATGAGAACTACTCTTAGGTTTACAGAATAACAAAGAAAATGTTGCTCACCCCCTTTAGACAGGTGTGGTACATTCACGCTTGGAGTCTCCCCGAACGCGGTTACGAGGCACACCGTAGGTGAGCAAGTGCATCTTATCTTGGAGTTTCTTAACACGCCTGTAGGCGGAATAAGCAATCACGGCCGTGATGAGCCATCCCATCCCCAGGGCGACCAATGTGCAGATTAAGGTGGTATAATCTGTGTCAATGTAGCGTCAAAGTAAGTTCACGCGGGGTTTGTGTGAACTTAACGAGTTTGGTTCCTTCAATCAGTAATTGTTGGTCAATTTCTAAATCGAAGGCAAAGTTATAACCCTGGAAAGCGTCCATGATCTCAATCTCTGAGTCATGCTGTTCGAGGTTGAGATGATGGAGTGCCAGGTTTCTAGTTCAAGGTGGAAATGCCTACCGTCCTTTCAAATACCAATGTTAGCATCGACCTAAACCTATAGATGTGAGGTGTCTCAATTATGGGAACATTTAACAGGAAACCGAGTTCTAATTTTCTGCATCAACGTGAATGGGAATTGCACTACCTAGGCTGTACGCTAGGTGGATTTGTGAAAGGTGCACAGTAGAGGGGTAGCAGCTGTCAAGCTAACTTTGAGCAGGTCCAGTGGTACCAAGTACGGGGAAATACGACTTTCAACCAAGCTGTCCAGCGTGGAACTTACTTCCCTGAGCAGGTCCTGCATCAAATCTCTCACCACTCGTGTGTACACAATATCCTGATGTATGGTTTCAGACAAAGTCTTGATTGCACGTAGAGATTCATTAATCAGAGCCTAGTATAGGTACCAGAGTACCCTGTAAGGTTTTAGTAGGTACATCCTGTTAGCGGTCTAGGAAGGAGTTTCTCTTGGTTA